AGATAAACTATGAAGGGTTCAAAAGTATTTTCAATCAATTTAGCTATTCGTCAATCAGTTGTACATGATGCTGTCTGTGGGGAAATAAAAAAGGTAGTGGTGTTACCACATCACATACTTTCTAACATTTTTGTACTGGCTAGGCCATATGATAAAACTACACGAACATGCGAAAGGGTTTCCAACCAGCAAAAATGTCTCCTAACGGAGATTCGAACTGAGGTCTCAACAGTCAACATGCTAGTCACGTTACCCCTTCACCACTAAGTATCAAATTTACACTCTACCACCCCGGTGCTTAAAATTAAGTTGAAGATTTCCATTTACAAATTCAGACATTCAGAGCTTTTCATTTAACGTTATTTAAAGATGCACTTTTAGAGAACAGGTTTCGTTGAGTAAAATTTTCTATTATCTATATTACAGTTTTTCAATGATAATTGTTTTTTAGCAATTTTTGAAAATACAGAGTTTGACGAAAATGGGACTTGTGACACTTTTTGTGCGTCTTCTATACTATTCGAGGAAAAAATGTAAAAAAGAAAATTGGATGCATAAAGAAAAAATAATAAACTGCTTTAACCCCAAGCAAACAATACGCGAAAAGTACTTGTTTTTTTCAAAAAATTACAAACGCGCTTCTTTAAATATACATTTTTAAGAATACGAGATTTCATTAAGAAAAAATCTGGTTCATCAATATTGTACTTGTGCAATGATAGTTTTCTTCGCAATTTTCGAAAATACAGGGCGCTCACCGAAAACGGGACGTGTGCGACTTTTAAAGGGTCTCTCATGTATATGGTCTTCTATGATTGAGGTTGTTCTGGACAACATAAAGCCGACTCCACCCATTCGGTATTTGGCGAGTAGCGAGCGACTTCTCGCCGAATCCCGACTAGTGTGGAGTGGATGGGTCGCTTGCTTTTCGCCGAGCGAGAACCTTCAGTGCTCACCCTACCCAGCGCGTGTCGGTCTTTTGGATCCATCAAAGGAAGCGAACATTCGAGTGGGCGAGCAGGAGGTCGCTATTTGCCGAGTGTGTGGAGCCGCTTTAAAGCCTTTTGGCACGAACGGAAAGTTGTGACATCTGAGAACAGTAACAAGAAGATTCTGAGAAGGATGACATTCTGAAGAAAAACAACACCACCACCACCAACAACAACAACAACAACAAACCTTTTTGTGACGATTTATCAACGGAATAACAACTTAGTCGTTTGAGAGACCGACCGCGTGTGTCACAGGGTTAATGCGGATATAGGGATAATATAGGGATAGCTCTCGTATATATAGGGATAATTGCGCCCGAACCTTCGCGGACTAGGCAACCCGCCAAACGGATCTGTGTTGTCTCCTGCGGGTTGCAGCGCCCCATCGAACGTCCTGCGCTTACGCCAGTGGTGGCCGTGACCGAAGTGAAAGCCGTTATAACCTACTGTTTGGCCCACAATTCATGTCAGAGGCGAACAATTTTTTGTTGTAATTTTACTTGATTTCTTCAAATCTTTTACTTCGTATTCGTTTCATCACATCCCAAACGTTTTCCCTTTATGCATTGTTTCGTTTGAAGTTAACAATTAAAAATTACGTGTATAGTTTCAAAACTATTTATGAGGAGGAGCCCGAGCTGAAATCCCCCCTCCCCTCCTGAAATACTTCCGCTAATTTTCAGATGAAAAATGTCGAGACCAAAATGTAGAGCCGTTTTTAGAAAATGTCTCTAGGGAGTTCGGTGAATCTGTACCTCCCGACTCCGCCCTCGGGTACCATACTACAAACCTTATTTTCAACTGGTTGCTGTGAAGATAACATTTAGTTCTGTTACCACTTTCTACGGCTTTTGTTAAACAAAAATGATAATTTTTCGTGTTTATAAATGTTTGTATTTATAATAAAATATTTAGTTTTAAGAATTAAAAAAGAAAAACCAAAAAAATAGAACACCTGGACTTTCTGTTTATTGTAATAAACAATTTTTGAATGCATTTTAATAGATTCATTATTAGTTTAGTAAGCACAGATGTATACATGTTCTATGTCAAAGTCGGATCATAAAATAAAATCAGCTACCTTTAGGCTTTAACTCTGTCATATTAGCTACATTTTATGCAAATAAAATTAAGTTTTTCATTCCTTTTCCGCTTCCCATGTCCCACAAGAGCCAAAAAATCTCTAATACATACTTTAAAAACTTGTGTACAATATAAATAATGTTGCAGCTAGGACGGACTAGTGCAACATGCATTGCAATATAATTAGTACTGTCTCAAGGTGAATTGTTTTGTCAAAATGACATCCATGGGCAGAGTAGATAAAATGTTTAATAAAAATTAAAGTTAAGATTTTCAGCAAATGCGTGTACTAAATTCGCCCTTGCTGGCTCGTTTATTAGCGTGTCCGCTTTCCACGGAATAACCCCGGGTTCGATTCCCCGCCGGGACAAAAAAATAACTGTGCGCTTTCCTTACAAATTTCCCAGTATCTATTGCTGTGTGACGATGAGAAAGCCCACCCTAAGGTTATAAAGATTAGCATGTACGGTGAAGAGATGTCTTTGTGCTAACCACGTGTTACGTATCCCACCGAGAGAGCCGAAGAGCTGAGTTAACGTTGTACAGCCAAGGCCATTGGGCAGAACAGCATATTCTGAATAAAATACATCTGCATGACAAAAGCATGTTTTCGCCTACAAAATACAAACATTTTTCAGTGGTCATATAAAATGCTTTATAATGAAACATTATTATATTTCATTGCTCGATTCCACGCTTTCCTATGCCTTCAACCACAACATTCATGAACAATTAACATGTTACGGGCGGGCAATGAAGACGCACATTTGGGAGGATGTAGGGGTGCAGAGAAGACAAGCAGGAGTAGTTTGCATTGACGTCCCTACGAAAAAAGTAAATTTTGCACTTTGATGTGTTTTCATAAAAGACTAACATCACATACCCTTAGTGCATAGTTTGCTTATTTTCATATAATGATAGAAAAATAATTGTATTATTTTGTATTGCTTCAAAAAGAATTTATCTTTACAAGTTAAGTGTTGTTTAAGCAAGTTAAGTTATCTTTAAGAAAGTATCTTTACTGCACTAATATCAAAAGTAGTATCCTATTTAGTGTAACATTAATGAGGAGTGGTTCATAACTAAAAATTAATGTGAGCAATTTTTCCGAAGATAACCTATGTTCCTTTCAGTTTTTGGGAGAAAATTACAATTATTTATTTTAATTACCGGACTATACATGTTTAGTTATTTTCTGTTGATTGTTGTGCTGTTTACCTGCAGTGATTACCATTTAATATTTTTATAAACTCATGTAAAATATTTTGTGGAATAATTGTTCTTGCATGATCAAAATTTTTATTACTAGATGTATTGAGACCCAAAACAATTCAGAGGGGGCATGAATCATCATTTGTCTCACGAAATATAAAAAAAAATTTTTTTGTCGTAAAAAATTATTATATTATTTATAGTCGTAAAATTCACGTTTTTGAAGGCCTCACATTTTTTGCACAGTGCGGTCATGTGTGACAAGTGATTTATGATAAAACGAACTTCACCTACAGGTTGCCTAACTTAATAAAATACTTCTGATTTGTATGATGTAGAAACAACGTTGTTGTTTTGAAATGTACTGCATCTCTTTTTGTGTTATTTATGTATTATGATGTAAAGAATTGTACTTTAATTTTAAAATTGTATTTTAATTATGTATATTTTATTATAGTCCATACTGTTGACATATGGAATGTTATTGAAGCATTCCGAGAAAATGGCCTGAACACTCTTGAACCACAGACGGAAGTGAATGTGTCTAGACTAGAAACTCTTATATCCAGCCTTTACCATAATCTGAATAAAAGATTGCCTGTAGCCCAACAGGTTCATGTCGAAGCATGTTCTGGGCTACTCCTCAACTGGCTTCTTGCAGCATATTCTGTGTAAGTCCTCCATTTAAAGAAACGTATTTTTGATTCACCTAGAAGTTTGTCTCATGAAGAACACGAAATTTTCTGGGAAAATCTCATAACGTAATGACATATCTATATTTAAATGAAAGTATTTGAAACAATTTTTTTTTCTGACACCGTTTGACATTATGTGATTTTAGAACTTACGAGGATAATTATATTTTTATTTTTGTTTGCAGTGAAAACATGGGTAAAATCAGGGTTTTCTCCATTAAAGTAGCTTTAGCTACTATGTGTGCTGGAAAACTAATGGATAAATTGAGATGTAAGTTTTAAAGTGAAATATTATTAATTTCTTAAAAAAATAAAAATTATTAACTTTATTTACATCACTTCTTAAATGTTCATATTTATCAATTTGGTTTCTATTGCCCAAACAATACTTTTTTGAGGCTTAAATATACTGTCATGGAATTCAAAGCACTTGTGTAATGTGCATTTAAACAAACGAAATGAAGCGAAAAAAATATTTATTTCAGTTTTTGGAAAAATGTCTATTGTATTAACAGAAGTGTGAAGAAATTATGAAAAAATACATAAATAGGTAGAATTTGGGTCCATTTGACTTACGCTTAAAACTAACTATTAATTAAAGAATAAGGGCCCTTGCACTTTCTAATTTGGAACATTTCATTTTTCTTGTAAGCAAAGTTCTTTATAAACATTTTAAAGTAAATAAGTACTTTTGAGCTAATATAGTCTCAGAATGTGTTCTTAAAATTAATTTGACATGCTGGAAACGGAAACGAGATGAAAGGTTGATGTAAAGAAATGCACGTCCCAGGATTGCGCCGAAATATATTCTTAAAAGAATTGAGTCATAATTTAATTTAATATTATTTACTAATGATTAGGAGATCCGCATTCGCCCCAGCCCTCTCCCTTAGCTTCTCCCTTACCCTCGCCCTCTCCCTCTCCTTCTCCCTCGCCCTCGCCCTTGCCCTCGCCCTCGCCCTGGCCCTCGCCCTGGCCCTCGCCCTGGCCCTGGCCCTCGCCCTGGCCCTCGCCCTGG